ATGGGAGATAGGACCTAATAGATATGAAAGAGTATTTGTGGAGAAGGCTGAAGTGTGGAGAAACTGATCTTGGCTTCAAAGTAGGGTTTGAAAGAGTTTGGAGGGCTCAGACTGATTTGAAATTAGCAGACATTTATATTAAGGATTCCTGATGGTAGACAGGGATGATGGTGAAAACATCAGGGTGTAGAAAAGAGTATTAAAAAAAAAAAAAAGAAAAGAAAACGTGCATGACCAGTAGCTGATCTTAAAGGGACAAAAAGAGGTTGAAGAAACAGACTTGGCACCTATTTTGTAAAAGAAGTTGCTCAGACCCTTATGTAACCAGAAGATTTGAACTAGTTGTAGCTGTAATGGACACCAAGTTGTAGTTAAATATTGGAGAAAGTAATTTACTCACAAGGTGACGTTGGCAATTTGAGCTTCAAGAGCTCTTCTCAGTGAACTGACCCCAGTTGCTCTGAGGCCATAGGCTCCTAAAACCACAAGAACTTAATTTTCTTCAAACTACAACTCAAATCATGATCTGCTGCCCATATATTTCAGTTATTTCAAACCTTGTTTAAAAAAGAAGTTAAATTTTTAAAACTGGTATGTTAGGTAGTTCAGGGCACTTACACTTTCATTTCTTTCTTATTACTTTTTTAGTCACTGTGGTTTATTCTAATGACCAGCTTCATCTGTTGCTATTGATACCAGCAATTCTGCAACAGCCAAAACGACTGCTCATGGAATTTCAGCTATTTTGGTGAACAAACTATCCTGATAACACAAGTTTGCAATTTGTGATAATTGATTATATTACAGGGAAAGAGCTGACTGAGGCTCCATCAACTATAATTTCACCAGCAGAGAATCAGTTGCAGAGTTAGAGAAGAAGCCAAACACTAGGAGATGAGTCACTTTGCTGTGATATTTTCCCCCAGGACGCAGGAAAGGATATCAAATGTAGATTAAAAAAAAATATGTAACTTTATTCCATACCTTTTATCTCTTCCATGAGCCTCAAAGTACCATTTGGCTGGGCTGAGGAATACTCCCTGACCCAGACAAGCAGCCGGTCGCTTTCATCACCACTGGTATAGAAATAGAACTGGAGGCACTGGAAGCCCCTTTTGGGATAGAGAATGCGGCTCTCCAGGAGAGCTGTGCTTCCCTCTGCTCCAGCACTGGTGTTAAAATGCATGAAGTAACCAGAATCTGTCAAAAATCAATGAGAAGTGAATGGTGGAGTGAAAAATTTCCCTGGAGTAAGTGTGTTCTTAAGGCAGTTCCATAGCAATGGCAGCAGTCAGGGTCAGGGCAAACCCTCAGTGAGGACTGCTACCTGCTCCCCTTCTCCAGAGGCAGAACTGTCCTCCTTGCAACTTTTTTCCTCATTTGCCTCTCTCTAGCAATTTGTACTCAAAAGCATTGCCTTTTACTCTTTATCCAGGGCCAGTAATTCACAGCTGACTCTCTCTGGAGGACTCATTTAAGCTCCTGAACTCGTGAAGTTTCTTCTGACAGGTTCAGAAATGACTGGTTATACTCTCAATTAATTGTTCACCTGTGCCCTGATAAGATACATAATTTCTAAATCCCAATCCCTTACAAATTTACTGAGCAATTATTCAGACAAGCAGCATTTTTTCTGGTGTGCCTGTGGTTTGAACATTTTATATAGTCCTCATGTCAGGATGAGACACCGAGGTTAGAAAATAGATGAAAAGAGATAAAAACATTCAATCTCCTCAAAGAAGCAGAAAATCAAATGTATCACATGATATCCCTGAGTATGTAGATTTATGTCTCTTAGTTAAAAAATAAACTGTCACCTGTCAACAAATAAACAGAGAACAAGGCCAAGATCCAGGTCAGCTCACGTGCCTCTGCACAAGGTACTTCCCAGAGAGATAAGAAGAGGTTTTTCTCGTACCTTCACATTCTCCCATGTTAGTGTGATCAGTGTTTGGCCCAGCAGGAACCCCAGACAAACGCTGCCAATCGCTGCTATCATCTGAACTTTGGATCATGCCACATATATTTTCAAGTTCAAAACTGCACGTGTCCATGAAACTCAGGGAGGAGGCTGTGACATTTAAAAAACAATAAGTTGTGAATCTCTAGGACATGCCTTACACTTTAATTCTGAATGTCCAAAGCCAAGAGTAGGGAAGGACTAATCGCAAACACCAAATAACCAGCAGCTTCAAACACCACCAATATTCATAGGTATAGAACTCAAAGCATTTGGTGATTAACACTGGCATTAATAAGAGGTCGGGACCACTCTGAGCACTTTGCAAGCACAGGAGCTTGCTATCTATCATATCACATCTTTTATTTCTGTTAATCCCAGCCCCAACCCACCAACCTTCACACCCTCAAAAGGTCCTGAGACTTCCCATTCATGCCTCTGCTTTCTTTGGGCCACTCCAGACACAGCCACAGATTTTTTTTTGGTAAAAGTTCACTAATGTATCAGCTGGAATGATTATTTTGAAACACAGTAGAGCAGAAGTTATTTCACTGCAGTAAGCAAACCTTGGTTTTCAAAATGCTGAATTTATAAAACCATTTGGCAAAGGTACATGAGGGACTGGTGATATCTCATCCCATACAAATTTTTAAGATGTAAGCTTTGAGCAGAAGCACACGTTTTAAACAGCCACCCAAGGGATGAACAAGAATCAGCTGCTGACTGAAGCTGGTTTTTAACTAAAGGTCAGATAAAATTGCACAGAAAACTGCTAGGCAGCAGTGTTTCTGCAGGAGGGCCATGTTATTTCTAGCTGCACTGTTATTTCTGGTGGTTTTAACCCAATTCACTTCTCCAAATACATTAGCATCTCTTCCACTTATGAGTCCAGCAGGTATATATCACCCTCATTTATTTCAAGTGCCAGAAGGAAAAAAAAAATTAAGAGAAATGGAGAAACTTACAGCAATTGTAGAGCTGGTTCAGCTTCCGGAGATCGGAATCACTGAAGTCCATCCTCTGTCCTATCACATCCATGAAGTCTGGGATGTTAGTGATGATGGTGGGTTCAGTCCCATTCTTGAATGCATTCTGGCTGTAGTGCAGCACAGAGGTGTAGTCGTAGGGAACGTTCAGGAAGTCTGATGTTGTATCATTGTATTTTATGAAATTACTATCTTTACCTAAACAGGAAAAATAAAAGATCATTTGTTGCCCAAGAAAACCAAGTTTTGATGTGGAGGCTTAAAGTGACAAAGAATCCATCAGACCCCCAAGTATTTTTTTGTCATCATTGACTCGTAGTTACTCTATAAATCTATTTTATCTCTAGTCTAGAGTTATTTACTTTCCTCTTTCAGCCACTGGAAGATGATATGATGATTTCTACTGGATGAAGGAAAGCTGTTTGCTGCCAGAAATCATTTCCCCATGAAACTACTCATAAACTTTGATGGGCTTGTGATGTCCAAAAGTGGAGATACTGTCTTAGGACTCAAATTAATGCAATTAACAACTTTCATGCCTCCCTGTTTCTAATCTGTATTCTCTCGTGTTTAATTGCTGGTCATTTTAGCTTGCAACAAACAACTTAGAGTTGTTGTTGGATAAGCTCCCACAATCTAACTTTAAAATATTTTCTGGAGTATGAGAAAAAAACATTACTAACAACTACCTAATGGAAGGTAAAATTTTATATGTTTTCTATTAATCAAAATACAGTAACTATGGTCTAGTCAGTGTGAAAGAGTCAGTCCCCTCTGTTTAAAATAGTTTCTGGAGTATGAGAAAAAAAAAAAACATTACTAACAACTACCCAATGGAAGGTAAAATTTTAAATGTTTTCTATTAATCAAAATACAGTAACTATGGTCTAGTCAGTGTGAAAGAGTCAGTCCCCTCTGCACGCTCTGCTGTCTCAGCTTTAGCAGCTGGGGAGCAAGAGGCCCACCAGTGTTTTCACTGGAGATTTTCTACTTGGGTCACACTGGGTTTTTCACAGTGGGATTTTTTTTTTCATAGAATCATTAAGGTTGGAAAAGACCAAGATCATCAAGTCCAACCATCACCCAACACTACCATGGCCATTAAACCGTGTCCCCATGTGCCACATCTACTCATTTCTTGAACATCTCCAAGGATGGTGACTCCACCACCCCCTCAGGCAGCCTGTTTTCTATTAGTTTTGTTTTGTTAAGGGCTCCCAGAGTAACAGTGTTTTTAGAGTATTTATTTAACTAAAGTACTTTCTTCTGCTGCTTTTCTGCACAACGTGTAGCATAGCAAGACATGGAGCTCTAGTTATGGCTCTGGGAGCTGCTGTGGCACAAGGAATAACCACAGCAACAACAGATGAAGTTTTCTGTCCCAAATAGATGTCACTTCATGTTTAATATATTGATAGACTGGCTTTGGAAAATAATCCCAGGTAAGAGAATAGTGTGACCACTGAAGCTGGCTGGAAGGGATGTTCCACAGCTATACTCCCAAACAGCAGAGCCTGAAAGGAGAAGCAAAGGAGTGACTGACCAGTCTGAATCCTGTCCCAGACAATGGACACGTAGTCATCCCGGTCAGACCGTGACTGCTCGTGCCAGAACCCCAGAGCATGCAGGAACTCGTGCTGGATTGTCCCAATCTTGTCACAGTTGGCTCCAATGGAGAGCTGCTGCAAACCCTCTTGGAGGTTTCCCACCGAGGACCAGCAGCTGGCATTGAAATAAAACGAAGACAAGCTCTGTGAAATCCATACCATGCCCATGCCACACCAACTCCAGCATCAGTCTGTTCAACAGGGCTCTTTTTAACTTGTGTGTTGAAGTTATTTTGCTCCAGAGAATAATTTCTCATGGCTCTGTTCCTTACCAGGCCCTTTCCTATCACACTGAGCTCTCTTTTGGTGAACAAGCAGTTCCCATGCTCTGGCTCTACTGCTTTTAATGGGTTTGCTTTAGAAGAAAAATGTCAGGCTCTTTCTAGCAGAAGAGACTGATGAGTATTTCATTGGTACTCTGGTAAACATCAAAGACAATGGACATTATGATTTAGAGAATTAAGTTACTGCAAATTAGTAGTTTTTAGCTGGACCACAGCATGTGACTACAAGCACACTTTGAGCCTGTCCCCATCATAAGGGGAACCAAGTTCATGGATGTTCTTTCCTCTGCTGCTCCTCACTTTATTGCCTTGTCCTTTTGCTTTGTGAGGGGCTGTGGCTGCCAGGCAAGGTTTGCTTCTGCACGGCTGTGTTCCCCTTCCAAAAGCTTGCTGGATTTGACATTGCTCTCCAAAAGCTCTTTTCTTTCTGGCTCTCTGTGAGCTGCTGCACTAGAGCCCTTGCTGCTGACACACACTCCCACCCAGGGAAGAGAAAAACTGTGGCTGGGCTGGGAGGTTTTTTTAAAGATAGATAAAAAAAAATCCAGTGAGCTGCCAATAAAGTGGCACCCCATGTACACAAAGGAGCAAGCACACACAGCCACATTTAAATAAATATTTTCTGCAACAAATAAATCAAGGCTTACCCAGTGAAGTCCTTAAAATTAATCAGGTGCAAAACATGCCCCAGGATTTGCAATTCTGTCACCCCAGAAATCTAGAAACACGAACACACCGTGTGCTTTTGAACCCTGCAACTTATTAGTGCAACATATTCCCAGTATTTGCCTTCCCACAAACCAGCACAGGCTGTGGCTATTGATTACTCATTAAAATCACAGCATGAGACCTGGGAAGGAGTGCACGTGGCACCTATAATTTCATGGGCTTCCCTTGAACAGCCCTCATATTGATTATGCAGCTTTTTCCTGGGTTGTGTAGAAGTCTAAGAAGTCCATCCCAGTGCTGGGTCCACCTCATGGTGAAGCAGTTGCCTCTGGCATCACAGCTACTGCACAGTGCCCAGCAGGCTGCAGGCACATCCAAGACACTTGGCAAAATTAGCATCCAAACACTGGGGATGCAGCTTCCCTTTGCTCCAGACTGCCAAGTGACTATAACACCATCATTCTGCAGCTGAAGATGGAGTAAATGCATGGGCTGTGTCACCCAGCACTGAGAATAAAAGTAGGTGAGTAGGACAGGGCACTCCAGAGCAATGGGCACCTGGACCCCCATGTAGTGTCTTCAAGAGGGGAGAAAATGGGGGAAAGTCCCAGCTTCCCAAAGTGTGTCAGAGCTGGAGCTCCTCTGATTCAATGCTTCCTGCACTGGTAGTTGCTCCATCAGAAGCTAGAGGAGCAGGGAAGTCCCAGATCAGACTAGTCCCACCAGCCCTCTTTTTGGGAGAGGCTGTAAGCAGATCCATGCCACCAGCAGCTATGATGCCACTTACTTCAGACACATTTTTATATGCACGTGCTGCTGGTAAATAACTACCCATAGTATCACAGATCACCTTTGTCTGTTTTATAGATAGGAAGGCAAAGGCATTTATTAACTTTTTCTTGGTGTGAAAAAACTTTATGAATCTGGCTGGCATCACCAGGAACTTTGTGCTCCTGTTTGCACTGCACCCTCTGGACTGAGCTCTATAGTCTGCAGTTAGAAGAGTCCTAGCTAATTAAAAAAACAAACAAACAAACAAAAACCAACAACAACAACAACAAAATAAATCAGGCTTGACAGAGGGGAAATGATTTTGTTCTCCCCACCTTTCCCCTTGTCCTGTTACATCACAAGAGAAGAATGCAGTGAACTGAAAGGCAGTTAGAGCAGGGCCAGTCCTGATAATTTCTTGCACAGCCTGAAGCTAGCTCACTGCAACAGCCCAGGAGATTGCTCTGGGTAGCTCCAGTCTTCTAAAAAGTGCTGCTGAGCATTAATTGTCCTATGGATGTGTCAGCTGAGACAATAGGAAGACTTCATGGCAGGCAACACAGCAGGCAGTGAGGGCAAACTGTGTTATTTCAACTCGAGTGACTTGTCTTCTTCATCACTGTGACTCATCTATTTTTAATAGACATATAAATGAAACATTGTGTAGAGGCTCTTTATTTGCCATAAGCTAAATATCACCGTTCTTTTTCAGGTACAATTATTAGCAAGTTCACTGCATACTTTATGTGACAGAGGGCTGAAAAATTTAGCTACATGAGTTTTCCATTTGGCTCAAAAAGCCAGAGTCATTGGCACAGGAGAAAGCATCACTCCCTAAGCCTCCACTGAGACTTCTTCCAGGTTTGAGTTTCAATGTGCACAGCATAAAGAGTAGAAAATATAAAGAGCCAGAGACTGAAGAAATTCTGAGACAATTATCTGCTACAAATATCTCAGAAAAAGCCAAAGGGATTATTATCAGAAAATCCTTTCCCATTTATGGATTCATTCTCAGATCAGGAAATGATTTTCTGAAAGTAAATTTCCTCACCACTCTATCAAGCTATCCCTGATCTCCTTTTCTAAATGAGAAATGGTTCAGCATAGAGTGGAGAAGGTATTTGTTCTTGCTGCACTGTTTTGACAGAGGCTGTCCTAGAAAGGGAAGCAGCCAAGGCAATTTTGACCTATTTACTGGAGTCTTATTTTTGAAGATGTAAGGTGGAATAGCATAACTATTCATTAAAAGAGTGAAATTCATTAATACAGTGAAATCTCTGTAAAATATTTCAGTGCTCTGCAGCATTTAAAAGTACTGCTGTCATATTTGAATGCTGGTGTGACCTTGTTCTCATGCAATTCCACTTGTAGTCAAACAAATTCATTGTCCCACAATTAGTACTGTTATATTTCTGTTGGGAATATTTTTTTCTAAAAACTAAGGTATACTAAGAATGACCATTTGAAAGTGATTCTTCATATATCCAAGGATCAGTCAAGAAAATAATTGGCTTGTTTCTGGTATCTTTTACCATGCCCAGAAAATTACCTCTTAAAGGACTTGATTTCCTCATATCTAAAAATAAGGAGCAGCAAGAAATGGTTCATTACTACCAAGATGATACCTGTTTTGGAAACTACTACAACAAAAAGCCCAACCAACCAAAAAAACAAACAAAAAAACACCATAAATGAAAAATGGACATTAAAAAAAATAATTATAATCAGATATATGAGTTTTAGAGTGAACACTGGCCATGAAAATAGCCTGAAGGCAAACAGGATGAGTTATTTGTCATTACTCCTCTTACCCACTTCCTTTGAAGACAGAGATGTAATTCTTCTCCCCTGCCCAAGGTTTGAAGTCAATGCAGGTTTTCAGTCGATACTGTTCAAATGCCTTGAGGATGAGTCCCTTAGCATTCATCTCTGCAAAGCAAGCAGTCAATTCTGAGCCAATAGGTTTGTCCCATTTTCCATATGGAGCAAGTCCTAAGGGTGAGTCTTGCTCCAGCAATTTTTTATTGAAATAAGCAGGTTTTATATCGGATTAAGACCTGAGTGGGGACCTAAAAACTCATAAATTAGGCTGTTGTGATATTATTATCTTCCTCTTGTTTTGTTTCTGTGCAATTTTTCTTTGGAACTTTTGTATAAAATATGATGCATATACAAAAAGTATGATAGTGCATATTTAGTAATTTTGTACATTCTTTCATTTACATTGCTGAAATTTATGTGAAAAAGAATTAAATAAATAGGCAACAAAGGCAACCTAGTGCAGGCTACAGATCTCTCCAGGATTTGAACTGCTAACACTGTACCTGAGTCATCTCCTCTAAACAATTTGCATGGTTTCAACCCAGCTTAGATCCAAATCTACGCAGGGAGTGGGTGATATTTTTTTCCTGTCATGGACCAGAAAGATGACCTCACATTGTGCAGCGAGGGCACAATCTCTTCTTCTGCTTAGTAGAGTTCCACATCTCAGACATGTGCTTTTCAAATCAAATCAAATTGCTGGGCCATAAATGTCAGGATAAGAATCATCCAAGAAAGGACATGAGAGCCACCACCAACACCAAGGTGATACCTTCTGTTTGTGCAGACCCAGGCCTGCTCTAGAATTCTAAGGAGGAAAAGATGCCACAGTATCTTTATCAAGGTGTATCTAACATTACAATCAACAGGACATGCAGATGTTGTTGGGGTGAACACCATACCCAGGCTATCCTCAAGGACGTAGGGGATAACACGGGGCCACCGATAGTTGTCACCAACAATGGAGTTTCTTTCCTGCATCTGAGAAAGAAAATAAGCATGTGGTACTCAGTAAAAAGTGATTTTGGATCCAGGCCTACAATAGTGCTAAAGTAAAGCATGTCTCCTACAGCTCCATGTAGGGCTGAAGAAATCAGAGCTCAGAAACTTTGGATGATCACTCCGAAGTCTAAGGCTTGGGTTTGAAATCCCTTCGCTGCCTCCTACCAGTGCCTCCAACTTCTGCAGGATTTTCCACACAGGAATTACCTGAAGTCTTGATGCATGTGTGGAGAGAGCTTCAGCTCCTGTGGGAAGCATTCCAATCTAAAATCCTGAAAAGTGTACAGGGGTTTATAATTTTATAGTTTTTATAATGCAAGGGCTTGTGCCTGTGCCTCTAGCAAGCCCTGTCCTTGCTTCCACTCATGCTCAGACCCAAACAGCTCACCAAAAGAGAGAATAAAACACTATTGACTTTCAAGGGTACAAGACAGAGGCTTTCTACAAAGCATTTTTGAGATGTAACTTGTTATATAAATTTATTGTTTTTTAACTGATCAGCTACGGATACTGGGCAGACACTTTAAAATGTGGTATTACAGAGCTGATTTTTCTAATCATTTTAGTGAATCTACATACATGATGAGGCTTTTGCAGCACTGGCCTGTAAATTTAATTGGCTCATGATAAATATTGTACAGATAAATGAAGAATCTTTTAGAGAAACCTGTCTGGATGATGATCAGTGCTGCTGAATCTCATAAAAGTTTAGGTACAATAAAGGAAACAAGAAGCTAATAATACTGATCTAATGGCTTAACCAATTTTATTCTGGGTAATGTTTCTGCAAATACACCCAGCTCCTTCATTGTCTATGACGTTTTGTAGAAAACTATCCCAAAATATTTTCAGTTTATTTTTACTTAAATAGCATTTATTATTAGCCAGTGCAGGATGCATCAATTATTGCCATGCCAGGGCCACTTTACGTTGCATAAGTCAATGACAGTTTCTGGTTTTACATTTTGTATTTGAACTCACCCTGCCAAGTTTGATGTCTCCCTCAAAAAGGTCTAGTCCTAAAGCTAGAGGGAAGAAGAGATTAACATTCAGTTATTTTATTGATCTGTGGCTACCATAACAAAAATCACACCAAAAATATATAAAAAGAGAGACTGAATTTTTAAGAGACCTTCATTGATGTCAAAGATGTCTTGATCAAGTCCTCCATCGACATCTATTTCTGAAAAACAAAAAGACAAGTGAGGTAGGACATTAGCCCTTGCAGTTATCTTTATGAAGTGTGAAAATTAATGCAACAACAATAACAGTAATTATAAATCTGTGTCTGTCCTAGCGATGTTTATGAGCAGCTGGTTCTGTTGACTTCCTCCCGTGCATACAAATAGATCTCTAAACAGAACTCACCAGTTGTCTCTGGAGCAGGCTGGGGAGAGGGAAGAAAAAAAAAAACAAAAAAAAGATATTATTAGAAAGGCACATAATGAAATGCAGCTCGTGTTACTCTCCCAGCAGTAGGAGAGATGCGATTTAAGCTCAACTGACAGCACTTAGTGCATGGCTTTGTACCCCACTGACTGCCCCCACTGCCTCTTTATTTCACTGGAAAGGTTTATTTGCTCATGTGTCAGCTTTGTGTCCTCCCCACTACTTCAGGCTGCCCAAGAAGTATCTCACCCACTGCCCCTTTGTGAAGTTTTCACCACTGTTTTTCACTCACAACTCAGGCAGAGCTGAATGGTCCTGCACAAACAGGGCGGGGGGGAAAGCCTATTAATTATTCCTATGAAATGAAGTATTTCATAGTCAGGAGCTGTGCAGAACCTGTGGAATTTATGCTTAATTTTCCATTATAAAGCTGAAGATGGAGGGATAGATTGAGTGGTCTGGCATCACACAGCTAGTCTTTGAAAGGCTGGGTAGAGTCCAGGTCACCTCCACCCCAGCTAGGTGCCTTAGCTGGACTCCCCTTACCTGAGCAATCCCAACTCAAAGACTCCTTCTGCAGGGTGAAAGAGCCACAGACCATAATGAGAGATACACAGCACACTTTTCCTTGCCACAGCATGCCTATAGACTATAATCTGTATTCTTCATTGAACTAAACACTTCATTTTGGGCTGCCTTGGACATACCTGACGTTACACTACACAACTACTTCTCATGCAGGGAGCAAAATCATGAGCAGCCTTTCTAAGCAGGTGCTGCTGGGTGGGTTTCTCTGTTTCTCATCAGAAGCCTTGTATTCATATGTTTGAAAAGCAGTTCACAAACTAAAGGTAGAAAACACCCTTAAATTCTATTCTCTGTCTTATAGGTTACAGATACAGGAAATAGTAAGATAAAATAGAAATTCTGCAAAGCAGGGTGGGATTCTTTTATTTTTACTATAGTCCCCACTCAGCTGTTTTTCTTTCTCCATAAAAACAATTTCTTATCTTTTGTACATGCAGTTTTGCATATAGGACTTATTTTTTTTCTGGTACAATGAGCATCCTCAACCTCCAAGAAGCAATGGATCAGAATGTTGAAAAATGGTGAAAATCAAATCCATGCAGTCCACAAGAATATAAACTGTGGTAATTTCTACTGTCTGTGTGACAGATAAGAAGATAGTATGGCCAGAATATTTAGGAGAGATCCAAATGCACATGTCCCTCTTTTGGCTCATAATGATGGGAACAATTTTCAGGGCAAACTTAACTGTGGGCTCTAAACCTGATGGTGTTCATATAAAAACTCTAAACCAAATACAGGGGGGAAAAAAAACCCTTCAGTGAGATTTTCATTTGGAAAAGGCTCAGAACAAAAGGTCTGAAATTGTCAGAATGTCCTATTTTTGCTTTTTAATGAAAGATTCATTTTCAATCTGAAATTACTGTCTCTGAAAACTTGGCAAAATGGCAGAAAAAAAAATATTGTAAATACAAAAGCCTGAAATCTCATTTGATCATTTTGATTCACCTAAACAAAAATTAATCCAAACTGTTGCCTCAAAGATTTTCACAGATTTTGATCATTCATTCATTTTTTGCCTAATGAATTAGAAGCTATAATTTATAGGTTTAAGAGACATAATGCCTAATTGGTATGAGCTGGCATAATCAAAGGCTTAATACCTGATGTTATATAGAGAGGCAAGGTTTATAATCAACCTCTGCTTCTTAATTTTCTCATTGAAAACTACAACCTACAGAAGCAAAAAGGCAGGATTTTGACCTTGAAGTGTCAGTTACAAAATACATTGAGTAGAGTCTGTTTCCTGACCCAAATTCTCCTGAAACTGCCATTTAAGTACTTCACAGTGCTGTTTGAAAATTTGGTAGATTTTAAGATACTCATCCCTTAAAAACCCACTGTCATTGAGGAAAAAACTACAGAGTCCATTGAAAACAAATGTTTCCAGCCCTGAGCAAGTGCAGATGCTAAAGGATTGATGAAAGCATGAGGGCAAGGTGTGCACATACATTTTGAAGACTTAATTTGCTTTTAAACTCCCACTCTCACACAGATTTCCAGCTAATGTGAAAGAAAAACAAAGACAAGTCCAGCTTGCAATATTAAAACATTAAAAACACATTATCATCTTTTCTGTTAAAGACTGTTGATGGGGAAGAATCATATCTACATATGTGGAATCCTCTTATAACCATTAGTGAAGAGTAAAATGTTTCTATAGTTTCAATTATTATCAACTACAATATACCTACACCAACTAATCAGAAAGTGTAACTGTGCTCAAAAAAAACTGTCTACCTCCTGGAAAATCCCCTCTATCAGTAACAAAAGCTCACAAACTGAAGTCAACGTAGCTAAATTCAGCAGCACTGTGGTGCATAAACCAAAAGGTGAGTCCATGGCTGAAGGACACCAAATTCAACAATGGACTGAAATCCAGGCTAGCTCTCAGGGTGTGAAAGCTGTCACTGAATGTTTTATGCTGAAGGAATCTCTTTCATCACTCCTTCCCCCTCCCTTCTCAAGGAAATTAGGTCTCTAGGCCTGTGAATCTCATAGAATCATAGAATCATTTAGGTTGGAAGGGACCTCCAAGATCATCAAGTCCAATCACCGAGCCACCAGGGCTCCAAAGTCCTCTGCCAAAACAGATCAGAATCTGTCAGAGTTGGAAGGGACCACAAGGATCCTCCAGTTCCAACCCCTCTGCCATGAGCAGGGACACCTCCCACTAGATCAGGCTGCCCAGAGCCTCCTCCAGCCTGGCCTTAAAGACCCCCAGGGATGGGGCCTCAACCACCACCCTGGGCAACCCATTCCAGGGTCTCACCAGCAAAATACTCCCTTTTAAAAGAAATAACTCTGTGTATGAGTATTACTCATTTGAGTAGCAATGGCTTCTGTCTCCACAGCATCCTGACAACTGAGACCTGGATGATGTATTTCTAATCTCTGAAAGTTTTGTCAATAAGCAACAGATCCACAGTTGACAGCCACATACAGGGGAAGGTTGTGTTACCTGCACTGTACCACTGACATTCAAATACAGAGGAAGGTTGTGTTACCTGCACTGTACCAAAGAGGAACCAAATTTAGCCTAATGCTATTTTTAAAACTACATCCACAAAAAATTCTGAACATTTTTTATATTAGTCCCCAACTTTGCAAACAACATCTAATGCTATTTTTAAAACAATATGCACAAAAAAATTCTGAACATTTCTTCTATTAGTCCCCAACTTTGCAAACAACATGGTTTCTGTGAATTAAGTTACATTAAAAGTTGGTCAAACCGTGGCTTGTGAGCACTTTTAACTGGTGAATAATCCAAACACGTTTTGGCCAGGTAGGAAACATCTCACCTGTTTTAGTCATGGCAAAACAAGGGAGGTGGACTCACTCAGTAACCACAGGAGAAACAACTGAGCAATGCCATCCATCATTCATCTGTCCCCAAAACAGCTATGGCACCACCACAACGCCTTGGCACCTCCAGAAGATGATCCACCTCACCCAGCTGGGACAGACATTCGAGTATGTGAAAGGTGGAGTGTATCCAGCAGCTTAGATAAGACACCCTAACTTATCAGTGTTTTCTCCAGCCAATAAATAACTTCTAGTACTGGCTTCCAGAAATGTGAAAGAAGCTCTTCCTGGCCAGAAGGTAGATGGAAATAATCAGCTGTGGTGATCAGAGGCCACTCTCCCACACAGACACTGGTCACTGTGAGTCAGTTTGATGTGTGTCAGCTTGTAGATGTTACTAGCAGTCTGCATCACCTACTACATGTTTTACCAAAGCCTGCAGAGGAATCTAAACAAGGCTGAGACTTGAGTTTCCAAAAGACTGGGAGCAGAGGACAGGTAGTTGTGATGGGCAGTGGAAATACAAGGGAAATAGGGGATTGGGGTAGTGGGGGAATACAGGAGGACTGTGGGAAAGGTGGGGACATGGGATTGGGCTCTTGACTTAGGGAGATGTGTGAGATGTGTCAGTGGAGAGGAAGAGGATAGGACTGTCACAGTGAGATGTTGGAGCTGGATTCACAGAATCAGGCAGCTAAGCTGCATAACTTAAAATAGGAAGTGTTATTCCACTCAGGTAATGCCACAATGAACAATATCATACTCTGTAGGCTACCCTGAAGCTAGGAACAGCTGAAATGACCTACTGGTTTTTGCTCTTGAAACTAATGATATCACCAAAATTCCTGGCCTCTACAACAAATTATCACAAGATGAGCAAAATGCTATATTTCACTCCAAAGACAGGAAATACCAACTCTCAACTGTTACTTTTTGCCATT